GCCCTCCACATGGGCCTTTGTCATTTCCAAAACAGTCTGAGCATCCTTAGCTGCCTTAAGTTCTGATTCGAGTTTCTCTATCGTAGCAACACCTGATGCGAAAGAAGAGTCAATGTCGCGAAGGGCTGCTAATTTATCATTAAAAATGGCCTCTATTTGATGAACACGGCCCTCTTGTTCTTGAATCTTAGAATTTGCAGAGGCTTGAGCTTCGTGCCACGCCTACGTTGTGAAAGGCTTCTCGTCGCTTAAACCTTCCATCAAAATATCTACAGAAAAGTCTAAGTGTTAAGACACGGAAAGAGAAGTTGAAAATCAACGATGAAGGGGAATTAAATTTACCTCTGGTAGCAACAGTAGGCTCTGCGATCCTGGCATCTACCCTCGCCTCTTATAGCTTTTCTAAAAGAGTCAGAAGCATGTAAGCAATTAGGGGAGGGATGAACTATGAGTCGTTTAATGCCTGATATTACCACCTGAAAGGTGTACTATCGGTAATAGGTGTACTTGGGCTAGCGATCATTGTAGACAAATCATGTTCTGTAATGGCACCTTTGTCGGTCTCAAGGGCCGTGCCTGTTTCAACACCCGCCGGATCGTTAGCCACAGCCTCATTTGTTTGTGGCATGAAGCTGGGTCCTCCAAAAAAATCTAAGTTGGGAGAAGGAGGATTTTACGTCATTCCCTCTTCTTCATGACCCCCTAGAATATAAAATTTGCGAAGTCTAAAGCTTGGTAGATGAAAGGATTGAAAAGATAACGAGAATTGAAATATTACCTTCCCCACCGATGAGCGCATCGCTGGCCACTCCTGTTTGAGAAACCTGGGGTTTAGTGCGTCACTTGATAGTCATCTTCATTCGTTTTGTAGGTCAAGCCTCTTTAAGATCCATGGGTCTGTCTTGTGTTGATATAGCATGCTGCTCAATTTGTAATCCAGTTTGAGTTGTGGCTTGAGGTCGAGCACGGGTGATAAGACTACTTCTCCTCTCTTCTTCCTCGGAACCTACATCTGAAAGTTCAACCATCATTCTATTATAAGTGGGCAAATTTTCCACTTCTTTCGAGCATTAAGTCGACGAGCTCGATCAGCAATTGATAGATCCCATAGCTCTTTATAAAAAGACTCAGACAAACATGTCGCATGTTCCTTGAAATCGCTGTTAACCTCTATACCCCCACCAGTAGCAACTTCATCCTCTTCAGAAGTCTCCTTGTCAGAAGCAAACGACTCCTCTTCTACTTCCTCTATTTTCTGCTTCCCTTTTCCTGAGGGACCAGCGAGCTTATTATCGTGTCTCCTTTGTTCCTGCATGCTTTCCCGGACCATCCTCTCAGTAATACGTGACGCAACTTCAGCCATCAACTCCTTAATTAGCCTTAGAGGGACGGACTCATTAGCTTCCATACGCCACTTGCAACATAAATATGTCAACTCTAAGTGGCGTTTAGCATTCGGAAGACCGAACTTGGTGCCGGTATAGCCCGTCACGTTCCACAGCCAGGCTCGAGCGCCGTCTACTAGTCCACCACGAGTATGAAACTGTTGGTTTAGATTCCCAATGTATAATTTATCATATCCAAATTGACGGGAGAACCGGTACGACAGATAAGGCTCTAAGTAGTAGCGTTCCTTCACTCGGAAGAGGAGATGGCTTGGCCTTATGTTCATCAGCCATCTGAAATAGCTAACATTGAGAGAAGTCCGACTTGTTCCCGACGCTTCTACGTTGGCTAGCAACCCACTATATCTGCTAGCAAATCGAGGGAAGCATGGATTGAACACCAACCCTTATGAATATGCAAACTCTTCCTAACGTTCAAGAGGTCTCGAACTTTCCATTTGCACTCCTCAAGTAATTGTAGCAAAGGAGTGGATAGATCTGCATTAGTTGGGGCTGACATTAGATCAAGGCGATGAAGAACCAGCCACCCCATCAGATAGGTGTAAGAAGCTTCGCCTTCGCCATAGGGATCTTATCGGATGGAGTCTCCTCCGCTTGAGTAAAAGCTGTGACCACTTTATGAAGCCCACGATGTATGTCGGCAACCATTGCTGGCAGAAGAGATAAGCTTTTTCCATAATCAAGCTGGACAGCAGGGAATAAAACCTCTATCGGTAAGGTGTCGGAGGTCTGATACGGCACCACACACTTCTTCAACCAAAGTGCGATGTAACCAGCCAACAAAGTCTTAGGGTGAATGGACTTCTCCGCACACCATAAGAAAGTTTTTAACTTAGTCCCTACAGAGAATCTACCTGGGCACTCACAATGGTGTAGGATCGAGCATCATATTTCTCAATCAGGTTATTTATCTCCGAAGGAGTTAGCGGTTTTAGCTCATAAATTGCCTCGTCGGATTTTTCCAAATTCTTGAATAAATAACCTGAGAATTGCTTCAGGCTTATTTGAGGAGACTTCTTCCTCACAATTGGACTGGTTCCGGCTAAGGCTATTTGATAATGACATGTAAGTTCCCATAATGTGTCATATCGAGCAGGCTTATGGGTTTTCAATTGAAGCAACTCCCGGTTGGAGGGAAAATACTCCTGATACAACAGGTCTCCCATCGATAATCTAAAGACCTTATGCATCTCATGGAAAGGTAGTCCCAACTCTCCATTCCGGGTTAGAAAAGTGTTGGTATCCGGATTATACAGCTCTATTAATCTGGTGAAGTGGATAACGCTCACCGGTAATCCATATTTGGTGGAACGAATAGCTTCATACAACCCCATCGCCTTCAATTCAGCACCCCATCGGTTGAGGACATAACCTGTCATCCTGCCCCACCATAACTTTCTAAAGAATGAGACCAGCCATGGCATCCATAATTTTTGACAAGTAACTCTCACCCTAGCATGGCAATGAGATTCTTCACTGTGCGAGCCACTATAGGTACCTCCCCTTTAGGCGGGTCCTCCAATCCCATCACACCGGGGTGTAATCTTATGATATGGTTTCTACCACTTGAGCCCAGGAGTGAATGACTGGTGACATATCCGCAATGAACGTTGGTGTGTTCCTCTGTCAGAGTCCATGCCATTTGTCGCGTCACCGCTTGCTTCCGCAATTCTGTCAGTGAGTGATGACGAGGGACTAGAGGGAGGTATAAACAAGTTGTACCATCCCTATGTAACCACTGCTCATCTCTGAGGGTTATGGTGGGTGGATTTATCACGGAATCGCCGAACATATAATTCGTCTTCCTTAAAGGGTGAACGGGATACGTATCTTCTGCGAACAATGCGTCAGTAATTAGCTGGCATGTGATGCGGTGGTCCCCTTCCCGTACCAACTTAGAGAACTCATCTGGAAGGTCCGAAGCAAACTGAGAAGTAGGCGAAATCGACGCCGAATCGTCAACAGCAGTGTAATACCTACTCCTATTGCCATCTATCTCGAACGGAGAAAATGGTGTTGCAGGGTATTCAATTGAAACAAATAACGTGTGTTTATTAAACGCAGTTATAAAGAAATATTAGGGCAACACAGGGCGTTGAATTCATCTCACCAATCCGTGAGATGGAGTCACTACCTTGTAATTGGCGAGATGATTTTAACTTTATCCCGAACACAAGATAACATATATTATCACGTGAATAGTGCGATGACATACCCTATCTTACGAAATGCGATACGGCAAAAAATCACCACATATTGCCTTAAGATACGTCTTGACCAAGCAAAACATATCTGATAAGCATCAACCCCCACAAAGGAGGGTATCAACTCTTCCTAATTGCCTCACCAAGGAGGACAAAATGGGGATATAATACAACAAAAGAGGAAAAGTGTTTGATAGTTAGGCAAGACGATTTAAACTACATTATATGCACGAGGCACGATGTATATTGTCACATGAACAAAGTGACGATATACCCATCCTTTGGAATATAATACAGCAGGAAATCGCCCCAAATTAATTAAGCCGTGTCTAGACCAAGCAAAACGTATCTGTGAAGTGTCAATCCCCACCAAGGAGGATCTCAGCTCTTCCCAATTGTCTCACCAAGGAGAACAAAGCGGGGATGCAATATGCAACATGATATGCTATTATTAAATTCATGAGCAGAGAATTATAAAATCTTACTAGTGAAAGACAGAGGCTCTCTCTCAGGTGACTGAGCGGTTGAGCAGCTCCTCAGAAAGCGTGATCTCCTTGTCGATATAGCTAATCTGCAATGAAGACAATAGTTCAGTTATATCGAGAATCGAGATACGTAAATCAGAGATTAAAGGCAATTACGAATCTTTGACTGAAATTCTATAAAATGGAATTTTCTAGCTGAAGGTGATTAAACTTATAAAACATCTCCGATGTAAATTGGGGTGAGGAAAATAAATGTATGAAGCTAGGGCGGCGAGTTCGATTCTCGACCAATACACAAGCTAAGGGCTTGGACATTTTTCTCTCAAAAGCCAAAAGTGGACACAAGCTCAATTCTTACATGTGGTTCATGTGACGCCCCAGGGTTCACACAAGGCTGCAGTCCCAGATAAAACCCGGATTGTCAAACCTGTCAAGTATCAACCACCATGCTACGACATGTTTTACCATCACAATCACTATCTCTCTAGTGGAAACAATAAATAGATGAAGGTACAGACAGGCAAAAATAGAAATAGGCAACACTGGATATATACAGAAGAAGCATAAGAAATATCAATAATGAACCCAACTGAAATAGAATAGAAATGTCTCTGAGTATAAACTGGATCTCAAATACAATGAGTCAAATAAACAAGGTCTCACAAAAGCTCTCAACTCTAAACTAAAATACCAATCTAGAGTCTAAAAATAATCAACTACATGTGGAAAGCTCTCAACTCTAAACTAAAATACCAATCTAGAGTCTAAAAATAATCAACTACATGTGGAGTTCTGTAATAACTACAAAGTATAATAAGTTAGAGTCTAAAAATAATCAACTACATGTGGAGTTCTGTAATAACTACAAAGTATAATAAGTAGCTAAATGTACAACTAAGAAGTCCCATCAACCTGCGACTCTCCGTGTGCCAGACTCGCTGCCTAAAAGAGGGAAAACAACGAGCGTCAAAGTGCTAGAGAGATTATCACTACCTCTCCCCAAGGGAAGGGGTAGGAGTATATAAGAAAATAGTCAGTACTTACATATATCAAATCATTCTTATTGCTCTCTATGAATGAAAAACAAATAGTCAAGGAAACATACTCAAATCTCCAACATAAAGAATAAATACCTCATCTCGAATTACATCCGAGTAGCCTGCTTTAATATAAGAGGATGTCAACCAAACCAAAATGAATATAACTACCGTCCATAACGGGTGTGCCAAAATCTCAAAGGAAATACTCTACTCGTGAGTAATATATCATGGAAGTAAAACTTACAACTGATCAAATATCTATGTGTGCATCATCTTGTGCTATAGCGATACTCTTGTAATGCTCTTACTCAATCGCTTTGCGGCAATAGGAATTATTATCTCCCTATTCCGGATACATGTAATAACGATACTATTGTAATATTCTTACTCAATCGTTCTGCGGTAAATAGGTTTCATCTCCCTATTCTGGATACCTGAAAGATCAAATACTAGTCATGTGTATTTATCAAATTTAACTTGTGACAAAAGTGTGTTAATTCAACACAAACTAAGCATAAGTACACATATCTCGGTGTGCATGTCCACATCTGAAGTTCACCATCATCCCAGGTGTTAAACAAGTCTTAACATTGTAGTTAATCATCACAAGGTCGAGAGAAGTGCTCGACAAACAGAAATCAAACCAAAACAATGCATAGGCCAATATCAGATTGGCGGTCGACCGTGGCGGTCGACCGCAACGGGCTCCAGAGGCTACCCAAGTCTCTGTCCTGCACGCGGTCAACCATACCGGTCGACCGTGAGCCAGATTTCTAGTTTTCTCCGGATTGTCATGTGTCGTGTTCACGTCATGTTCTTGTGATTCAAACATGGTAAAAACTTCATGAATCTTGCATACTAACATGTTACAGCAGATATAAATATCTGGAATCAAAATCAACATATATAACCATGATTTTATGCATTAGATTTATGTTCAAAACCCTAAAACATGCATAAAAGCTCAAAACGATGAATCAAACTTCTTTCTTTAGATTAACCACGTTTTAAAATCATCTTCAGATCTTAATTACATCTGTAAAACTCGTTCTCAACCTTTTTAGCATAAAAAGACCTAATCTTTATACATATAATACAAAAGAGTTATCTTTTATTCATAATCTAGTTGTTTAGGCTCTACAAAACATGTTTAAATCTCTTTAAAAACGTTTTAAAAACTGGGAGGGGGATTAGCAGAGATGATACTCGCCTGAGATTGTCGAAAAACGTTTTAGAAGCAAGGTTGAAAGAGATCTCCACTCCAAAAGCCAAAAACCAAGAAAAATCTCGCTCAAAAGCCTCCAATTTTCTCCAAGAAATCAAACTAGGGTTTGGGGGGTTTGGTGGTTGTTAGAGTTCTTAGGAAAACTGAGAAAAATGTGAAAAACTCATATATATATATATATCAAGGAAAACGAATATGGATTTAGAAATCCGAAACCAACTCAAAATAGGGGAAACAGCTCTCTGCAGGTTTCGTGGTCGACAGTGGCGGTCGACCGGCTCCGGTCGACCGTGGAGGTAGACCGGACTGGGTAATTTTAGTTTTTTATGAGTTTGGTCATTGTGCATGTTTCTACTCTTTTCTCTCTCATGTATGAACTCGTTCATACTCAAAACACATGGTATTATACTCATATACCATTAAATAATATTTATCATACAAAATATCAATAAACCATAATTAATCTCAAATTAATATATCATTCAAAAATTATCAGGGTTTTACAGTTCAGGCTAAGGATTCAACCATGGTCACAAATCTTGGAAACTCGTATTCAAACCTCACATACGACCACAATTAAGTCCACGTCTCATGTGCATGCAATCAAGCCAAGCATACACATATGCAACCAAGTCAAAGGAGTTCGGCTATCAAGTTCCAAGCTCTCAAAACAAAATCATAGAAAAAAGCAAGGGGATGAACCAAATAGTCCCAACAACCAAACGATGACTTCAGTTCTCATCCAAAATTCAAGCAAAGAAATTTGACTCACACAAAACCAAGAGCCTCGATTCACACTCGAGGACAAAACCAAGAGGAGTGGTTCTCAAATACCTAAATTAAGCACTTAAGTCCTCATTATCATTCAAAATCCAACCTACATATCAAAATCAAAGTCTCGGCCATATCAACATGCAAATTTACGAGCTCACAAATCAAGTCAAGATCATACAACTAAACATGTGCACACAATCAAGTATTAAAAAACTTGATCCTCAAGCACAACCAAACGACCACACAAATCCAAGTCTTGGGTGTCAGTTTAGGCCATATACAACAACGCAATCAAACGAACAGTAACCAAGGGCAAGGCTCAGACATATGTAAGAGAATGAATCAAATCAATATCCACGGTCAAGCACCCCAAGTTTAGTTTCCATTTAAAATTAAACCTCATCTTCAGTCTTTCCCCCCAAAAAATCACAAGCTAGAAGATTAATTTCGATAGAAAATCAAAAATAAGGAAGGCACGAGTTTACCCGAGTTTGAAGAGGAAGAGCTAGCCACGTGGACTTGTGATGAATTATAGGGCTTCGAATTTAAGAGTTGAAACCCTAACAAGGAATTGGGGAAGTTAGGGTTTTAAAATCAAATGAAAATCGAAAAAGACGAACAAAATCAAAGGTTTGAGTCACGATATTTACTTGGAATCAAAGAGAGCACGAACTTGGGATTTGAAGGTAGCCGAAACCCTAATTCTTTGAGTCAAGATCTGACCGAAATCAAGAAGTTGAAAAGGGTATTTAAAGGGGCTTTCAAGAGTTTTGATCTTAGGAGAGTTCCTAGAGGAGGAGAGTTCTTGAAAGACCGATTTTTGAAAAAGGTGGGAAATTTGAAATTGGTAGAAGAAAATAAGTGGGGAAGAAAGAGGAAGGAGAAGCGGGTTTTTAAAAAAAACCCAGCACCCTATGACCCGCTCTCACACGGGTCAGCGGTGATCGACTGGCTCCCACACGGGTTAACGGGAATCGACCTGCTCCCACGCGGGTCAGCAAGCGTTGACCCGCACGCGGGTTTGGTCTGACGATAGTTTCTTTGCAGTATTTTTGCCCGCTTTCGTTCCTCTTCAATGTATTCGATACATTTATTCATACTCCAATAGGTATATGAGTCTAAACTATTTCTCACTCTTGACGAGAAGTTTCTGGAGAATATTACGTATAATATTCTTAAGGATAACCCGGCAACCTCTGACGAGTACACGAGTTTAAACTGATTCCCGAAACTCTCAAGAGTATACGAGTATAAACTGGTCCTCCTCGTTCTAACACCGTAAGAGCATAAATTGTGTCAACGCTAGTCAACGTGTTGCGACGAAAGTCAACACCGGTCAACACGTTGCGATGAAAGTCAATGTCGGTCAACGCTTAGCCTTATGTTAATGCCGGTCAACGCGTTGCGATAAAAATTAATGTTGGTCAATGCAAAACCCTAGGTCAACACTGGTCAACATGTAGCCCTAGGTCAATGGCAGTTAACATGTTACGGTGAAAGTCAACGCCGGTCAATGCGTAGCCCTATGTTAACGCCGGTCAATGCGTTGCGATGAAAATCAACGCCGGTCAACGCATTACGATAAAAATTAACGTCGGTCAATGTAAAACCCTAGGTCAACGTTGGTCAACACATAGCCCTAGGTCAATGATAGTCAACACATTACGATGAAAGTCAACGCCGGTCAACGCGTAGCCCTAAGTCAACTCCGGTCAATGCATTATGATGAAGATCAATGCTTCAATAGTTTTCGCTGAAACAAGAGTTGAATCAATCCTAGTTCAAGGGATATGAATACCCGACGAAGGTAATCAGTCCAACGTCAACCCAACGACACGAGCTAAGTTTAGAAACCAATACATTAGTTTCAATTCGAGATTTTGACAACGGTCAGACGATAAACGTAGTACCGGAAGAATTTTAGCTATTCGACAAAATACTGAATAGATTGGAAAGTGGAGAAGTTAAGAACCGAAGCCAATTATAGGTCCTTTGACACCGATTGAAGGTGGGGCCTATCATATCCAAAGTATTTCAGACTCTTCTATACATGAATGAGCCTGAAACACTTTGGAGGGGGTATATGTAGGCGTCTAAAAAAACCAATAGGTTCCCGCAAAAAGCTCGAGATAAAAAGAAAGCGAAGAACATCATCATCCAATTCAAGAAGGATTATCCAAGTAGCCAGCACTTGTCGGTCAGCTCCATGTACCTGTCGTGCTTATCGGTCAGCTTCAAGTGCCGTAAAGAAGGCAACAAGCGTATGAAGCAAGCTAGCAAAATGTACAAGTCAACAAGACAACAAAATATGCAAAACGGTAGAAAGTACAAGTCTGGGGATGTCGAAAAACACCAAAAGCTCAAAAGCCTCAGAACCCGCATAGGAGAGCAGGTCACCACTGGGTGACCCTCGCACACGCGGGTCACCAAGAGGTGACCCGCGGTCACGCGGGTCACCATGGTCTGTCTCGCGGTCTCGAGCCTCAAACGCGTTTTCGATAGTTTTTAAGCGGTTTTCATAGGATTTATCTGTTCTAGAGGTTTCCAACTGACTTGATATCATCCTACACGTGAATACGAGGCTATTACTGACTGAAGATAGGCCAAATCTCTCATTCTCTTCAAAATAACCACATCCGAGGCCATATAAATATAAGCCTAAGGGCTCCATTCTACAGGGCTGGAATTTTTATCAAGAGGATGAGGTGCTGCTGGATTGAGAAGTCAAGGAGCACAAAATTTCAAAGGAGGCTAGCTAGATCCTGGCGAACTCCGGCATAAAAAAGAAGCGTTTCGAAGGATCTAAGGCCCGTACCCCCTTTCCTTGAGATTAGGCTTGGTCTTAATCTCGAGAAGAGTATTGGTTTTGCTTGGTCGATATCAGTACTCCAGCGAATACTTCCTTGGTGAAGTAGAAGCTTTGATCAATACTTCTGCCAACCGGATCCGATTCGTAGGCGGTCCACGGATAAACCCCGACACTGGCAACGATCCCACGCAAGCAATATGAGATAAACTACTATTGTGTGTAGTTTGAAAGAAAGTTGTAATTTTTGATCAAAAGTCTTATAAAAATGCTATTTTCTTGAGTTTGTTGTAAACATCTAAAGTCGTAATGAACTCATGATTAACATATTTTATAACATTTTACTCCCTCATTATCTAATTATTTCAAGAAATAAATATGCTAATATCGGCATTTTAGCTTAGTTTGCACATAAATGAATAAAAACATAAATAAATATTATTAAATATAAAAACCCTCAAATTCTCTCTTCTCTATTTTTCAGCATTTTAGAAGCCCAAAAATCACAAGCTAAAGAAGCCCATGAAGCAAAAGCCCAAAGAGGAAAATGAAGAATTGAAGCTAAGAGGAAATTGAAGCCCATGAAGCAAAAGGCCAAAGAGGAAAAAACCAATAAATGAAGCCAAAAGCCCATTTTATGTTATGGATTGTGGATATGCATGGGTATGAGTTTTCTAGATTGTGGATAAGATATAGTATGGGTTTTTTATTGTGGTATGGGTGTAGTATGGATTGAAATATTATATTTTAATTATGAGGGTTGGATATTTTGGTATATAAATAGAGGAGAGTATGAGAGTTTGAGGGTGTAAAAGTGTTGTATGAGGAGTTTACTCATGATTGAGAAACGCTCAAACTTGTAATTTATTTTATATTTACTACAATCTTGTTCAACGGAATTTAAGTTCAAGGAGAGGAAAACCCCCTTGAATGTAAGTTTCTACTTTTATTTTCTTTATTTTTCACTTTCTTTTGTATTTCCTTTCGTAGCTTAGATTTAATTCTTATCTTGCATTTGTATTTCCTTTCGTAGCTTAGATTTAATTCTTATCTTGCATTTTAATTCATAGCTTAGATTTATTTCCTTGCAATTTTATTTTCTTTATTCCTTCTTTCTTTTCCTTTTCTTTGTTAGAATAGTTTTTTTCCTTTCTCATAATTAATTCTTGCTTTTTATTTCCATAGTATAGATTTTCTTTTTTATTCTTCTTTTATTTTCTGTAATTAATTTAATTTTATGTTTATATATAGGTTTTTATTTTTAAATGTGGAACTAAAACATTGTAGGAATTTATGAATTGCATGAAACTAAGTTAGATTTCTTTCTAATTTGTGGAATATTCTCTTGTGCAAATAATGATCATGTTAGGATAATTAATAAGAGATCTAGGAGAAGAACTTGATAACCTATCCTTTCATTAAATTGTTTGATGGGTTACACTTGTGAATTCTAGATTAAGTCTCAAATTTATTTTTCTTGCATGAATGAATTTAACTTGGGTGATAATTTGATAGGGTACCCTTTCACTGAGTTGTTTGATGCCCTACACTTAGTAAATCTAAAGGAGAATTCTAATAAAGATAAAAAGAGAATATTTCATAATTACTAAGAGAAATAATTTAGTGGATTCAATTTTAGATTCCTAATATCTTTAAATTGATATCCTCATTTGTTTTCACTTTCTTGATTTTATTCTTTTCTTTTAGTCTCTTGTTTTCATTTTCATTTTCTTATTCCTCCTATCTTACATTTCTTGTTCTATGATTGTAATTTTATTTATTTATTCTTCTTCCCTCTTAATCAACATTTTATTTTGAATATAATACGACACACAATCAACCCTTCAAACAAACAAACGTCTCCTTTTCATTTACTTGTTTCCAACCACTCCTAATTGTCTCACACAACATAAGAGCTGAATCTAATTATTTCTTGCAAAGACCTTCCTCGTGGGATCAATAACTTTTTATACTATAACTTGATTGGTTGTACACTTGCAACATTTGATACATATTTTTATTCCATAAAGTTTTTGGCGCCGTTGCTGGGGAACGATGTTTAAGTAGGATTTTAATTATTTTGGTTCTTTAACTTGTGTATTTTCTTGTGAAGGAACCACTTGTTGCTTAAAGATTACGGATTGGAAATCGAGGAAATTAATATTTGCTTTTAGTAACTCTTCTTTCTAGTATTTTTAATTTCATCCTTTTAGCTAGCTCTCCGCAATTAGAGACAATTAGGATCTAAAAATTTTTAAAAAAAGATTTTTTTTTGTTGACCATAATAAAAAAAAGAGAAGAATTTTGTTTTTACCATCCTTTTCTAGTTGCTTTTAATTTCTAGGGTTGCATTGCATATAATATTAGGAATTCTTCAAAGTGATTTGAGCATCTTGATTTGGCACACACTTGAAAATATTTGTAAGGGTAAAACCCCTAATCAATATAAGGTAAGGGATTTCATCACCCTTTCCTTAGCCCAAAAATTATTAATTTCTCACTACACAAACCCAAGCTTTTTTAAAACTCATTAGACGCTGGACCCTAAGGATTCGAGCTCATTAAGGAACAAGGAATCCCTAAGTGAACCGGTTCAAGTTTTCTTAGATAAGTTGGTGTCTAAGGCAAGGTTTAGGGGTTAGGTAAGGTGCTCCGTAAGGAATAAGGTAATTAATTGATCTTTGATCACCCTTTAGTATTATCCTTACCTTGCTAACTGATCGAGTAAAACTTTGATCTTTTCACTTAAGGAATTTTTAGTTAGGAGCTGGTCTAGCTGAGATAGGCTTAACCCTAGAGTTAGAGTGATTGAAAATTGGTTTTTTATTTATTTATTTTAGTTAGGTTTCTCCTTTTCCTTCTCATAACAAAAACAAAAACAAAAAAAACTAACTTTTGATTTTTCTTTTTTTTAAAAAAAATTATAAAAAGAATTTGTTTGGTGTATGCAAACGTGGATTAGGGATAATACAAATCGCTTAATTCATTTTGAACCAATTGTAGAAATGGCTAATCCACCGGTTCTCTAAGATATGTGCTATCCCAC